GTAGTAACCTCATCCTCTACTTCCTGTTTTATGTACACAGTTTCCATTCCACGAACGTACTGCTGCTTGGCTCCACCAGATCTGACTTGTGCGTTAGTTCCTTCCACACTTTTTGCTTTAATATCCTGAAAATTATGACAATGCTGGCAACTCCTTCTATCATACTGAACCCTACACTGTGTTCTGCAGAACTGGGAGTGTCCATGAGGGATTAACAGATTTCACTGCAATCTGAATCCTAAAAGTAATTTTGTATTTAAATTATAGAGTCAAACACTTTCTGTGCCAACAGACAATTTGTAATGTGCAAGATATTTAACATAACCTCTATTGCTAACAAGATGTTTATTTACATAAGCATTTATATAAATAGCCATGTACTAAGAGATCTGTTTGCAGTTTCATATAGTAAGATAGCTTCAAAGATGTATGATCAAAACAGAGACACAAGTAACACAGATCCCTTGATTTCCAATTGCTTTATTAACCATGTGCTTTAATTTTAGTGTGGTATATCAGCAGAATTTGCTATGGCAAAACAGTTATAGGGTTAAAAATGTGTGAAAAAAAAGTATCATGTTCGGATTCCTTCTCTTATTAAATTTTCAAGGCCACAGTTCAATGCACAAATTCAGCTAAGCTGTGTTGAACACTGAAAGCTTTCCAATGCTTCAGCAAACACTGTAGTTTTCATCTTCAGGTCGAATGTGCATCGGAGTTCCAGGAAGGTTTATACAGAGCAGGTCAGCAGGTAGTGGATGGGATGAGAAGGACCTGACTGGCAGAACAAGGAAGTGGGCTGCTACCCAATTGGTAATGAACACGTGGTTTAGGAAAGGAGGTGGTGGAAAAAGCTTTTCATTTTTAATTTCTTCTTGCAAGAATGTATATAAAAGAGAACAACATTTTTATTTATTATGAATATATTACATGTCAAGCATGGAGAATGTTTTTTACCAGGATATCAATTATTATAATTTATTGTCCTGATATTGTTAACATGTTAAATTGAGGAAGTTGTGACTGGCTGAACACATAGGTCATGGAAGGGGCAATAATATTAAAATGGAACATTTGGAAATACAACGCAGTGAAATGGTTTCAAGTGCGCTACTTAAAAATGGTCCTGTCATCTGTGAGCAGTCATGTAAATGTGAGAGGTTCTGATAGTACTGTACATGATTTTTTTTTCTAACTGTTACTGTGACATTATGCACAAATATTTTAAGCAGATAACAGTGTAATATTCTAAACAATATGAGAAATTAAGATATCTTTCAATGAGACAAGTGTAGTATTTTTCACAAATCACCAAAAACTTCAATTTGCAGAATAAATTTCTGTATCCTTTTCAGAACTGTGCACATCAGAACATTATTTATTTCCTGCTGTGTCACCAGACACGGGCCACATAGACTTCTGTGAATTTCAGTGTCATTCCTAGAACAGGATTATAGAGTGTATGTGCGTGTGTGTTTTGCAAAAACTGCACTGAGCTATACCTCATCTGTGATGCCCAAGATATGTGAACCAATAGCAGTAGGAGAATCTTCTTCGTTCATATCCATGAACTCCGTTTCACAGAGAGCTGACACTGGCTCATTATCACTGTCTGAATCAGGCTCCATCTTCATTCCATCCATATATGCTTTCTAAGAACAGTACAATGGAAATTTAAATGCAAATCTGTACTCTCTGGATTGCTGGGATTTTTGACTCTTCCCATTGTCTGATGTCATAAAATTACATAACTGGGTGAGGCCCAGTGATTGAGATTAGCTCATTCTAATGAGCCCCAAACAATAGGTGCTCTTCTCCTTCATCATGCTTAAAGATGAAGACAGATCCAATCCTTGAAATATAGCATAATTTTACAGCATTAGACAACTGATAGAGTCCAAAAATCTGACAATCCAGATTGTATTATACCATCTCTTCAGAACCCTTTAGAAGAAATCTGTACTCTGTACCTGGTCTAGTACTTCATTACTGATGCAACTACTCAGAATGTAAGAAAGTGTTTTAATACAAAATCTGACAGCATAAATATGTCCCAGAATATCACCCATGTGAGTACATGTAATATGTGCAATAAAATTATCACATCAGAATACTCAGGATGGGCATGGAGATGGTGCCTGAAATGTTGGCAGCTAAGTGTAACCTACTGACACAGCTGATTGCCCTACAAGATTTGACTGAGTTCAGTCACCATGAAAGCTTCAAATCATATAACATCTGCTTTGGTCCAGAACCACTGCTTTACATACTATGCTTTGAGATAACTTGTTCAGAATAACTGGGTTTAAAAAAAAACAACGAATACATTTTATGGATATATTCTGACAGAAGGTCGCTTTAACCCATTCTGTTCTGTTTGTTTCTTATATATAGCTTTCTTCATGGCTCATGTTCAATCAGGTTTAGTATGGGACAAAACTAATACTGCTGCACTTAAAGTACAAAACAAGCTGCATTATTCCCATCAAAACAAGAGGTGTGTGCCTGCATACCTCACCAGACATTGAAATGATGGATACATTGGAATTCATTTTGGTTACATTATTTATCTTCATCTAATTATATAATACATCAGCTAGAAAAGTGCATAGTATCCAGCTGTAATTCATTGTAAGGAGTCAACATTCTGACCTATAGTTTTATTAACTTTTAGAGTATCCAGCTGCATATTGTCAGTTGACAGGGGCAAATGAGTCTGTTGGTTTGTACTGCGGTGAAGAACACTATGCTTGCATAAGGATGTTTTAAAATACTGATTAACATGGTACGAAATATACACAATACGAAACAGATGTATACATAATTCTACAACTTCATGACTTCTACAGCTCACATAACCTCAATTCATTGTTTACCTGATGAAAGCGAATAGTTGATATGACAGCGTCTTTTTATTCTGGCGACACTCCTATTTGTTTCTCAAGTGCAATTCTTAATTTTTACACATCCTTACCTGCAACACTTGTACAAGTATTACGGTTTCTGAACCAGCCCGCAGCAAAACTTTACACGCGTGGTAATTACGTAAATCATTTTAAATATAAAACAGATCTTATCCCTCTCGGATCACGGCGATTATGATCAACATCGAGCAAGTGACTTTTGAAACCAGTGTAAATATATAACGCTTCAGTGACGACGCAATGAAGCATCCTGAAGGTGTAATGTACAATGTGTTTGTAGATTAATAAAATCTTATCGGCCAACCAGCCGCGTTAACTGGTTACCGTAGTAAACTGACGTTTCGGGAACAAACTTTGTCCCCACCTTCAGTGTTCTGTTGTGACTGGATCCTCGGAACTCGCCTTCCGAGGATCCAGTCAAATCAGAACACTGAAGATGGGGACAAAGTTTGTTCCCGAAACGTCAGTTTACTACGGTAACCAGTTAACGCGTCTGATTGCCCGAGAAGATTTTATTGATTGTATTCGCAGCGAAAGTCTCAAATCCTATGTTTGTAGATTTTTACAAAGGCCTTCCACATGCCAGACCGGGATGTGGTAATAAAGAAAATGGAGGAAGAAATCGGCCAGCCTACCGCATTATCAAGAACATGCTGGCATAGGTGACAACGGAAGTGTATATCAAACAATTTAAAACTGGGTGCTCCTTAAGTCCATATTATTCACCATGGCAACAGCAAATGCCTTGAAAGTCATATAGAGCAGCAGAAACACAAAACTTCGTTATGCTGACATCTCCTCGCTACCAGAATTTCAAGTGTCATTCACGATAAACTAAGCAGACCACCGAAAGCCATGTATTAAAGAAAAAAACAACAACTGTGGAATATAAAGTCACACCTTCACATTCTAGCGAAGACTTTCCTGAAATATCAACTAAGAATGAAACTATTGCTCAACATATTATATCAGCATAGCTACTGCTAAAATCTACCAACGTTGAGGCAACAAGAAAGGACGTATCAAACGAATTCTACGTGAAGGCTGCCAAGATTAAATAAACCACAAAAGATTAGATGATGACAGTAACTTGATGCCCAACCTCCAGCTTATAAGGAGAAATTAATGGTGACATGGACGGTAAGGATGAAGATGATGATTCTGATAGCAGTGAGGATAATTATGTGGAGAAGGAAGGCAGCAGTAACTTCAATGATCAATGTAAACAGCTCGAATAGGGCAGTTTTATTTGTACGTTTACACATAAAAGAAGTAATATTTTCTTATATATCTTGACATTAGAAGGTAAAAACATTATCTAGTTTCTTCTTTGCTTTGCATATCTCTGCTGATAAATATTAGTCCCACTGAGTGAGACTGTTGGCTTTCAACATTAAAGATTACAGACATAGAGAAAGGGCACTTTTTCATCAATATGTTAACTTCTGCGTAGTTACACGGGCTACATTTGTCTAAATTCTCATTTCACTTGAACTGCAAGTGAAATTGCAGCAATTCTAATGAAGTATTTCTATTTAACGACCACTGGAAACAAAATTATTTCTTCTAGCTGGCCATGTATTCAAATACCATGTAAATACCTGAACTCTAACCTTGGACTGTCGATCTGTAACTTTCGAAGCAGTGAAAACATATATAAAATTTTGTATACTCAGATTAAATTATTTATAGGGGAAACATATTTAATTAATAATTAGTGACATCTGCAAATGACTTGTAGATATGGTCTTTCTAGAATAAATATTCCACTGTTTTGTTTGTAATGGGCGACCAGTTTACCACATTACTGGTTCTTAGTGATGTCTTGGCCATGGTCTCAGAGCTGTACAGTGCTGACCAAAGAAAGCGGACACCTGTATTAAAATATTAAAAGAGGCTCACATCAGGATGTGACACAATGGTGAGAATTGTTCCTGGAGATTTGGCAGTAGATATGTTACATCGAAGTACATCTGTAAATTGATAAAAACAGGAACTGTCTAATCAAACAGAAGGCAGTTGACTTCCTCGCGGCTTTACCAGGGCCGGTTGCTCATCGCGTGAGCTAACCCGCCCAGGCATTAAGGTCAACACGAGGGATGGATTCACTTGCACAAGTCACTCTCTGGTTCCTGAAACAACAAAACGTAAATGAGGGTAATTATTATGAACTCATAAATTTCTCTACACCTATTAATTCCTACATATTAAAAACAAATATTAAAATAGGAGGTTATGATGGAGCAGAAATCAACACTGCACTCCTTAAAATCCGAATTCAAACTGTCATCCTAATATTCAAATTCACATTCAGTGCGTGTTCACCATTGCAATAACTAGATTTGCTCTGCATTATATGAATGTAACGTAAACCTAGTGTTTGGCATCAGGGAACATGCCCTGTGAAACAGAATTTTTAATAGTCATTTATGATCTCTGTGACCACTTTCTAGGACCATATAAAGACTTCGCTCTCTTCCACAACAACAGTTTTGTTTCTGCAATGAACTCACACAAAAGAGGCCTGGAAGAACGCCAGCGGCTGCATGACAGCAATGTCGTCAGAGTTGTCGCACAGGATCCTTGACAGACTGGCCCTGCGCAGCTGTTCAACTTGTTCTGCAATGGTAAAGATATGTCACTTCACCAAGGGGCAGAATACCAATTTCTTTGATCCCAAATATTTCAGCAACAGGCAATCTATATTAAGATTGTCTTCGTGCACATTAAGAGACTGACTGGTCTTCGATAATCAATAATTTTGTGCTACCAGAGTGACTTTCGGAAATATTTCAAATATAATCACATCTTATCTTCTTTGTATGACTTTGCCTCGGATTACAGCTGCTGCAGTTGGGCCATTGGTTTCTGTTGGTAATTGCAATAATTCGTAAGGTTACAGTGTACAGTCTCGCTTTTGTAATAGTTTTGACATTTGTGTTCCTTCACATTCAAAACGAGTTACGTAATGAAACAGTATTCTGAAGGCAGCGCCATCTGGGGAATGTACTTACTCGGCGAGAAGGCGGACGGCTGGTTACCTTCCTCATAATAAAACCTGTCGCCTCGCCTCAGTCGGGCGAACTGGTCACCTACAAGACAAACGAATGTCTGCCCTAGCAATGCACCGGGCAATGGCTTCTCGGCTACGGCCGCTGCATACAGATCGATCTCGTCCACTGATTTGTATAAACCTCGCAGCACCTCCACACTCTGCATTAAGAAAAATGGCCCACGAAATTAATTAAAAGTTATATAAGGCTGAAAGTTCCACTTCATTACTCGAACTTCGAAATGTTCTGTACCTGTGAGTCCATGACGTCGAGCAAATTGTCCCAAGACCTCGCTCTCGGCAGACCGCAAACTTCCCGCCAGTCGTTATAGGGAGGCAGCCCGTGGTCACGGCCCCGCTGGATGTTAAGTGCGAACAGGTCTAGTCCGAAGTCTAGGTCGCCTTGAAACAGGTGGTCTGTCAGTTGTTTTGAGAAGAAGCGATCAAAACGCTGACACGTTTGAGTGGACAACCCACGAACGAAGTCGTCCAATACGCCGTTCTCGTACAGGACGAAGGGAGCGAATTGGTGGTGGCTGAGTTCCAAATTCTCTCGCACGTTTCCAAAACGAGAGAATCCCCTGCGGATACAAAGGGTTTCAGAAAAGTCGAAATGACGCGACAGTTGCAACAACATTAACTGAAGACAAAATTACGGTATAGTTTCCATGCGGCCAGTCACTTACTGCATGTGACTCTGGATGAGGCTGTGTCCGAAGCGAAAAGCGGCTGTTGCGAATGCGTTCGTTATGGACGGGTTCAGTGACTCGTCGTACAGCTCAGTGAACCCACCATCTCGCGGGCTCAGCTCGAACTTCTCCATGTAGTCGAGACCTGCGATAAAAATCGAAATGAGATCTTCGATGTGGCATACAGTAATGTGTTTGCACTGTTAAGACGAACGCCTCGCTGGCTTACCGAGAACAAGGGGCAGGAACTCGTTGTACGTGATGTGCTGCATCTCAGCCACGACTACGCGTCGCGCCTCCTGGAACAGCGCCTCGTCGCTCCACTCGGGGTTCAGCCTCGCCAGCTCAGCCGCCACGCGGTTGTGTTCGCGCAGCCAAACCGTGTGCATCACCGTGAGCTCCACTTGCTCGTTCACTCGCGTGTCACCTGCCCGTTGCAGAAAATTGAGGGATAAGCCCGTCATTAACATTGTGTTTTCAGCAGTAGTTAAGGAAATTGCTGGAAGTGCCGAAAAGAAATTTCAACAGGGCGTTTGCAAGGAAGGGGAACAACACTCTGGACTTCTTGCGTGTCGGTCCGCCCTACACACAAATGCTAGGAAACAAGCGACTGGCGCGCGTCCCCGCTCTGCGGCGGCCCACTTACCTGCCTTGAAGCAGGCGAGTCGCTCCGTGTCATCAGTGCACTCGCCTCTGTTCTCAGGCAGCAGCTGTCGCCCGCCCACATTCTGGATGGCCAGTCGGCCGCCCCGACCCTCGCGAAGCCCGCGTTGAGCGTCCTGGCTCGAGCCATAGATGTTGGATCCGTCGAGGTAGGCAGTCACTTGGTTCATCTGCAACAAGCACGAAAGGCATTGGACTGGAGACACCGCGCCGAGAACGGACGTCATGAGGACGAGATCCTCGCAGGAAATCGCGTACCTGTTCCCTGGGCCCGAAGTTGCACTCAGGGCGGGGCGCGGGAAGGGATCGTACGAACTCCATACATCGCTCACCGAACTTGGCGAAGATGTGGTCATTCCGGGGTAGCGGGATCGGAAAGCAGTCAGGGTGGCGAAGTTCCGATTTGATGACGTCACCGTCCCGGCAGCAAGAGAGCCCGCTCCCACTCTGACCTGCGGGACGACCACGCAACGCCACGTCAATGTTTCAAATTGAAGGTGTTTCATTTATTCATCGGAACGCGCTCTCACAGAAGACAATGAGACGGCCGTCTTCTGCGTTGAAATGGCGTCTTCCCAAAACTTACCCCTGCTGATGGGCGTGTGTGTGAGATCGTGATCGAGGAACTGCCCCCACTGCATCACGAGCAACGTGTAGTTCTCGTACGGAATGTCAGCCTCCTGAGCGAACTGAGTGCTAAGAAGCCGCGCGCTAGGAAGTTCCTCGCCGTTGGCAGCCACCCGAGGAGAGTTGACGCCTGCAGGCAAACGCAATTGTTCATCTGGTTCTAAAGCCTCGGCTAAGACATTCTGCAGTAATCAGGGCCAATTAGTGCCCTAATTAACAAAGGCAACGACGACTGTGATGATGATGATGATTCGGAATGCGGCCCGGAGTCAAATCACGTGACGCAGTTTCGCCAATTAGTTCAGGCACTTACCGTCGCCGTACTTTGGTGGCAGCACTCTCTGCAGGGCCGAGCCCGCGAGCCCCCATCTCTCGTTCTGCAGGTTGTTACAGGATCCGTCAGCCGTGCGGTATTTGTCCGGACGGCAGTTGGCGGGGCGACGACACGTGTCCGCGATGACGGTGTTCAGGATGCTGAACGTGGGCAGGGCGAAGCGTCCTTGGTCCGGGCTCAACTGGAACCTGAAGAACAGAGGCTGAAAACGAATGGCGAACACCTGGAAGTGGACGAGAGGGCGGAGATCGCGTTCTCGACCTCAGTCTGTGGATAGCAACGAGTCCCACAGATAGAAAAGACGATGATAAAAGGACAGTGCGGGGCCAAGGAAATTCTTTACTCGGTGTGAGACTGTCAGCGCCTCAAAGCTCCATGCAAAAATTAGATTATAGAAACGTCTTGCGGCATTCATGAGCCTGAACGAGCTCGAAGCCATTTCTTAATCATTCCTAATAATAGCCGTTGCTGCACTCACTCGTTCACTAGACTCACGCTGGCCTCCACGCCCTTCTGCGCCTCTTCGCCCTGCTGCAAGGTCGCGTTCGTCGTCTGGAAGAACTCCTGGTGCCAGGCCGCGGGCGTCCCCACCTGCCACCACGTGTTAGAATGAGTCTCGAATGTGACGAACAAACAAGGCAAGTGGAAACAAATGCTTTTCAAATATTCTGCAGTCACACGTTAGTGAAACTGGTAAAAGAGGGAGAGTCCTCCAAGCATCTCTCGTCGTTGTACCCAGCGCTAAATGCGCGTTTCAATAAGACCCTTCAGGAAACTTCACGCTGGAGCTTCATACTTTTGATGCCCCGGGTCCAAAAGCGGACCGGTCACTGATTGACGGGTTCGTTGTCTTTCTCAGTCCCTCGACATAAATATTCGCATTAGGTGACATACGATCTCCTCCGTGTCCTTACAATTAATTATTCGCTAATTACACTGTCGTGCGATGTCACGTAATCTCGGCTGTTGCAACATGCTACGTTCCATTTTGCTTGTCGCCGCAAACTCTGTGCGTGCTAACTCGCCAGCCCATCAGTATGCCCACCTGTACGATGACGTTGCTGGCGAAGAGCGACGCCACGAACTGGAGGCGCTGTCTCACCCGCTCCAGAGCCAAGGCGGCCGCAGCGTTCAGCTGCTGGGGGCTGAACGGCG